AAGGGGAGCTTTTATTAAACTGTTGGTTAGGCATCTAACGATAATCTTAAGGGAATAAAAGCTCCTAACCAACAGTTTAAGATTATCGTTAGATGAAGGGAATAAAAGCTCCTAACCAACAGTTTAAGATTATCGTTAGATGAAGGGAATAAAAGCTTCTAACCAACAGTTTAAGATTATCGTTAGATTTTGTAGCTGTGAGAAAAGAACTCTCAATAATTTAAAGCTTGTCTTCGATTCTTCTTATGACATTTCGTTTTTCAACTTAAGCTTCGTGTTAGGCCTTCATTTAGTTTATTTCGCTGCTTGCACAATAATAATAATAATAATAAAAAACTTATAAAACAAGATGGGAGCTTTTATATAATCGAATACAATTCAAAAGAGAAGCGATCGTGCTTTTTTCTCGAGTCTGTGATAAAAAGTAAAAAAGAAACTTCAAAATATTGATTAATGTTGATGTGGTAAGTGTTCTGATTTTGTCATCTCTCAAGAATTCTTCAGTTTCCGTCATATACAGCATCACGTATACAAAAAGGTTGTATAATAACGTACAGTTTTTAGCATCCTTATATTAGTTTTTCATTTAAGTATTCAAGCTAAATGCAAGCAGCCTTTAATAGCAATTGTTATCGACAAATAGAAGAATAACTAAAGCTTGAGTGACAGAAAAGGAAGTTAACATCTGTAATGGTATTGGGGAAACACAAGTTTTGACATTTTCAATTGTCCTCTACAGTCAGATTTTTTATTTCTTTCAAGGGGTCGAAACTTGTTTCCATATAAATTTTTGTTCCATAACAGTTGGTCGTAGCTTCATTTTAGATAACCTTAAACGTTACTGTGTATTTAACTACTGTTAGATTGACAATTACTATTAGATTATATTAAACTTGACAAGATAGAACCGCAAATGCCTCATTGGATCATGTTTTAAGTTCATAGGTTTTATGATTGAGTCTTTAAGTATATTGGTTTCTTGGGAAGTCAAATTTTAATTTTTCTGTTGAAATTTATTATGTGGAATAATCTTACAATTCAGTGAGTTTAACTCTTTTTTTAATTCTTTTTCAGCAGTGGAACAGATCATGAAATCTCTCTGTTACCATGACAGAAGAAAGAGGTTATTGTTAGTTGTGCTGAGCCTTTCATTACTCAATTCTTTTTGGATAATAAACTTTTATATTTCCATTCTTTCTATTTCATCCTCACAAGATGTCTATGTGAAGCCACTGACCAGATTAATTTACAATTTGTCCTTTCTAAATGACACACAAGATTTTCGGTTACTGGTGAACTTGTCAAATTTTAGTTTTGTGATGAATAATAAACGATGTGATAGTATCAGCGAACTCTTCATGGTAGTGTTTGTCCACAGTGCCCCAAAACATTATCACAACCGTCAGACTATCAGGCAGACTTGGGGACAGGAGACCAACCTTGTGAACGATCCTTTCCGAGTTGTGTTTCTCATAGGAAAGGCGCAGGACCAAAGTGTTCAGTTGGCACTGGAGGAGGAAAACCACATCCACCGAGACATCATTCAAGGAAATTTCATTGACAGTTATCGAAACCTTACATACAAATACGTAATGGGACTGAAATGGGTGACTTATTTTTGTCGTCATGTCAAATATGTGTTCAAAACTGACGACGATATCTTCGTCAATATCTTCCAACTAGTTAAATATCTGAAAGACTCCTTTGGCACGACACCGACAGGAGGATTAGTGGTGTGTTATCTCATTAAAAAACCTTTTGTGAAAAGAAGCCAAAGAAGTAAATGGCACGTGAGTTTCACAGAATATCCATGGAAGTACTACCCACCATATTGTTCTGGATGGGCAGTTTTGATGTCTCCTGATGTGATATTTAGTCTTTATATACAATCTTCCCGGGTTCCTTACTTCTGGGTTGATGACGTTCATGTGTCCGGCACGCTTGTCAAGAAGCTAGGAGTATCTCACGTGGATCTAACAGACACAATGACCATTAATCGAGCAGATATCGCTAGGTGGCTTGGAAGTAACGTCAGCAATTTACCCCCCTTCTTTGGTCATCCCGATGTGGATAGAGAGACAATTTACGCTTTATGGACTAAAACCTTGTTATATTACAATATCATCGAAACTCATTGGTAGAATTCGCAGAAGATCTACGTAAAGGGAACCGTAAAACGAGAAAATCGATAGGCCAGACCTAAAAAAAATCGTATTACAAAACTACTTGTTAAGTTACTAATTCGTACGGATAATTATTCGCACGCACACACACACAAAACGAAATTCAGAAAATATTGAACCCCATCTGCTGTTATTTACTATAATATTTTTACAAATTTCTATGTACTCTTTTTTTGCAGTTTTTTCTGCCACTTGATAAATATTTCCAATTGTATAAACTTTAAAAGTACTCGGTCAAAACAACTAAAAACGATAATTGCTTTAAGAACGTGTTTAAAAACAATGCAATGAAATCGCCTGTAGGAATAGCAAGTCAGAGGAAACAAAACTACAAATCACCTCATCAATGTTCCAGAAAACCTAATGGGATTTGAAAGAATTACAGGACGATGTTTTTAAGTAACTATCTTAGAGAAAGCTGTAATGATATTAATCTTGTCGATAAATGTATTTTTTTTCTTGGGGTCTCGTAAGATATGAGAACAAAGTGTTACTTTTTTGGGTCAAGTATGTCAAGTTGCAATACTCAGGTTAACTAAAGTTTCTGATAATTATCAAGTTTAAAAAAAGGGGGGGGGACATTTAGTGGTCATTTTCTAAATCAACGAATAATAACTAGAAGTTTTCGAAAATCGTAAAATTGCTAATATTTCTCATATTTTTCGCAAAGTAGCAGTTTTATTATGCTTCTCATTGCGGCAGTTGTTTTCGTTAACCGTAATAAGCTAATATATACACCTGGAAAAAAGTTAAGCACCCCAAATATTTTTCAGGAT